GGGTTTTTTTTAAGCTAACCCTTTCTTAAATGGTTTGCCTAGTGAAGCAATGCTTTCTCTTCTCTAGATGTAACCTACTGATCGAGTCTCAAAGCCAGCATAACATAAGAGGGCCACCTATTATCCCTCTAGCTTACCTGTAAACTTTTGACCCCACCTGTGGGGATATATGTGGACCAAGAGCCAGTTGTGTTTGTTCCCCAAACCTGCTGTGGGAATTATACTTGTTCATATAATTATTCAATTCAGTTATAAATTATGTAATCCAATGACATGTCAGTGCATTAAAAAAATGGCCATTTCTATAAAAATGCTTTGGAAAGATTCAATAATGTGGAGTTATTAAAAGTAAAATGCTGTAGACTAAGATGTGAAAATATAATCGTAAAATATTCGGAAAATAATTTAAATCTAAAAGGATTACATGCTGGATGTTATTGTGGTTATTATTAATTTAATAATGGCGCATCCAAGTAACTTTAGAAGAAAATAGGAAAAAAAGGAAGGTTAGGCCAAATTAATATTTCAAAAGAAAATATTGGAATAAACTTAAAAAATTTTTTTACTGTTTTATTTTATTTATTTATTTTAATATTTATTTATTTTTGAAGGAGAGAGAGACACAGTGAGCAGGGGAGGAGCAGAGAGAGAGAGGGAGACACAGAATCTGAAGCAGGCTCCAGGCTCTGAGCTGTCAGCACAGAGCCCTACGCAGGGGCTCAAACTCACAAGCTGTGAGATCGTGACCTGAGCTGAAGTCAGACGCTTAACTGACTGAGCCACCCAGGTGCCTCTGGAATAAACTTTTAAATCCAACAACAGAATATGAGACAGCAAAGGACCTAAACTTCACTTTGATCATTTTTTTAATCAGAATACCAGTATGTAAAATTGACGGTATTGATAATCACATTTCTGAAGAGTTTAGCTGGAAGATGAAAAAAACATTCATTCATGAAATGTAAACCTATTTCAGTTTCAACAACAAATTGCCACATGGTCTTAGGAAACTGTCCAACCTTTTCCTATCTCTGCTATTCTCTCCTAGGTAAGGATGATGATAAACAACATGATTAGTTTCTCACTGTGGCCAGAGGAATTACTTTGAGAGAAGTGCATTGTGGTCTTATTTGTGTTCTCTCACTTGAATGTGAGCTCTGTCTGGCTCAGTGTGCTATTTATGATGCATGGAGCTCTCCAACCCTGAGGAAAAGGATCAGTGAAATGCTATTTTTTTTTTAATTGATTTTCCATCAAAGCTCTAGACCTACTCACTTAGTGTGGTGCTTATGCCAAGTTTCAACAGGTGAAAAAAAACGTGCTTTACTACCAAAACCAAAAATGACTCAGAAGCCAGTCCTGTTGAGAAGGGAAAGATCCTGTTTCATGAGATTGTCTGTACCACTAAACGAAGCCTTTAATATCAAAATCAATCTTACAACCACAGTATAAGAACCTGTACACCAGATGTGAGGTTTAACCATATTAATTTTAGGGGCTCTGGTCAAAACCCAGTTAATTTCTGTTATGTGAAACAAGCCTGCATGCTGAGACTTAATTCATTTGCACAGAAATGAATATTCGTAGTTATTTAAAATATGGTCATGTAGTGAGGAAGTTAGTCTATGTTGACTGTGTGGACTGAACCCAACATCATAGGCTACATTAAAAAAAAAAAAACATAGGAATAACAATGATTTATTTATTTTTTTTTAATTTTTTTTTCAACGTTTTTTATTTATTTTTGGGACAGAGAGAGACAGAGCATGAACGGGGGAGGGGCAGAGAGAGAGGGAGACACAGAATCGGAAACAGGCTCCAGGCTCCGAGCCATCAGCCCAGAGCCTGACGTGGGGCTCGAACTCACGGACCGCGAGATCGTGACCTGGCTGAAGTCGGACGCTTAACCGACTGCGCCACCCAGGCGCCCCAGGAATAACAATGATTTAGAAGATACCGTCAAAGCCTTTAAGAGCCATACACACCATTACTCTTACTAAGTCGTGAGGGAGGGGACTTTTCTTAATGAGATAATCCATTAGCTGAAAAATAAATGGCATTTACTTTCCGTTCTTTTTATCAGAAAAGAGATTTTTACCGGGAAAAGAAATTTTTAAATTTAATTTAATTCAATGGATATTTATACAGGGCACAAAACTAGATTCAGGAAAGGTATAAAGAGGAGTAGGACTGGATCCTCCCTGTGTTCAGCAAATTTACTACAACACGTACAAGACATGCGCTTATCTAACTCATATATTTCAGTCTGTGATGTGTGGAGAGCCAAACAGGACCAGCGAGGGGTATCCAATCCCTGACGGGACTTCATTATTATGCCCTGATGTCAGGTTTCCTGAGACCCTTAGGAAATTGGAGGATGGTAGTTTCCTGGAGCTGGGGAGAGGGGAATTGGGAGTTGGTGTTCGATGGGTATAGAGTTTCCATCATGCAGGATGAACAAGAAAGTTCTAGAGATCGGCTGTACTACATTGTGCTTTAGAGTAAACAATATTGTACATTTTAAAATGTGTTAAGAGGATAGATCTCATGCTGTCTCTTACCACAACTAATAAAAAAAGGGTAAGAGAAATTGGCAGATGACCTTGCACAGCCTTATATATTTGATTCATCATGGAGATGGGGAAAAGAGTCCGTCATGTTCACATTTTTCAAGGAAACCATTTGATCATTATAAGCCAGAGAGCTTAGGGGCGCCTGGGTGGCTTGGTCGGTTAAGCGTCCGACTTCGGCTCAGGTCATGATCTCGCAGTCCGTGAGTTCGAGCCCCGCGTCGGGCTCTGTGCTGACAGCTCAGAGCCTGGAGCCTGTTTCAGATTCTGTGCCTCCCTCTCTCTGTGACCCTCCCCCGTTCATGCTCTGTCTCTCTCTGTCTCAAAAATAAATAAAAACGTTTAAAAAAATTAAAAAAAAAAAAATAAGCCAGAGAGCTTAAAAGCAATGCCTGATGACACCAATGCCTCATGCAATCAATAAGCAACTTACCATAGTATCATAAGAGGTAAAAGAGCAGCCACATTTGACTTTTTGAATAGCCATTTTTCCACATCAATTTAATTTCCTCCCATGGTTGTGTGACAGATTATATAAACAATGAAACTGTGCTGAATAAAATCAGTTTTCTATGGAGGAAGATTTGGGGTTCTCGCCTAAACACTGTTCTTATCACCAAGCCGCAAGTGTGTGATCTTAATCATGCTACTGTTACATGGGTGAACAAGTAAATATAGAGTTGCAATTACATCAGAGTGGGTTGAAGCAGTGGATTACATATCAAGTTCCAACCCGTGGGGATCAGTTGTACTGTAGGACCTCTAACTTATTGATGAGCTGTACAGATGACTTACAAATGCCTTCATCCAAAATGCAGAAATCACTAAATCAAGTGGAGTTGATACGTTATACCAGGACACTCATGACAATACAATTCAGAATGCCCTTAGACACATCTTTTAAATCATCTTAGAGGGGAGAATAGCATTTAATTGACATAAGTATAAACTGTACATTTTAGCATAAATAAAATTTAGTGAAAAATTGATTAAAAAGGCAAAAGCCAATAGGACCTTTGTCACAATTAGGGTTAGAAAATGAATATTATAAGTGAGTTACACTGATAGCAGGTTATGTAAATGGCACAGGATAGCAGAGTTATCCCTATCATTGCTTAGCTTCACCATTCTTAAGTACTTGTTCAAGTTTTTGACAACATACTTTGAAAGGGATATTTTACAGCATACAGAGAACAAAACATTACATATACAAGTATTTAAAATAGGATATGTATTCACATACAGTTTAGCATGCAATACATTATCTAATATGTAAACATAGTTTAGTATGTAGTAGGTTATAATACATTGAAATTATATATTACATACCATATGTGTTATAGTATACAGTATATAATATGTATTGTATATTATATATTTATAATGCATTATTTAAGGGAAGAATTATAACTGTAATCTAGAAAGCAGAAATCTAAATAGTCATATTATTACCATCTTGCAGTTCCCTGAAATTGTTCCCCGAATGAGTTGAGGCTCTTCTCTCCCTATAGATGACTAAGCCAGAAGGAATTTGCTATGTTACATTTAGCAACTCCATCTGGTAGAAAGAGGTCCTTCTTGATTATCAGGATGAAAAATCATTGGCTCAGGGAAAGCGCGAAGATTTTTTTCTTAGAGCTCTTTACTACAGAATAAACGAACATTAGTTCTGGATGATTTAATATCCATGGGATCACTTCCCTCAAAGAGCCTTTTTTCTTTCATCCTAGATTTTAGTTCGTTTACTCTTCCAAGCTTCACAGATCAAGGTATCCAACAGTGAGCCACAGATACTCCACGCCAGGAGATGTACATGGCATATCTATTCCGAATACCAATTTTATTCAGAGAGATCTGTCCCAAGTAGTCCAAGAATCTAAGCAGAAAATATCATCTTTGTATATAAACAAAGATGTATACAAAGATTCTAAGCAGGAAATATGATTGGTTGTTAACACACTGAAACAAAGAATCCAAGGACACAAAGAATGCAGGGAAATTTTCTTCTCTCCAGTGAACATATTCCTCCTCCAACTACCCCACCAGTCCCCAGTTCTATTTCTCTGATGTGGGGGAAACAGGCACAAGACTCAGTCTTCTCTGTGCAAAGTTTGAAGGCAATGCCCAGTTTCCTGATAAGTGACATTAAGCCTGTCACCTCTTCAGTAGCCCAGAAACACAAGAGTGACATATTGTATTTCATGACCCTTCCTCCCCACACTCCATGATTTTCTTTGCTAGAAATAAAATAGTAGAGGCATTGAGGCATCTTTATGTAGAAAGTTTTTAAATATACAGTGTGCCTGGGTGGCTCAGTTGATTGAGCATCCGACTTCGGCACACAGGTCATGATCTCACGGCTTGTGGGTTTGAGCCCTGCATCTGGCTCTGTGGTGACAGCTCAGAATGAATTGCCTTTCTCTTTTCCAGGATGGGAGCCAGTAAATTACCTGCAACCTATACCCAGAATCAGTGAGTAACCTTTCCTTATATTTGAATCTCGGGTAACTATAGATGAGCAGAGCAATGACAAGAATATCTGAAAACCTTATCATGTCTCTTTTAAACACCTGTTCTTACAGTGATAACTGTCACCAGAAAGCAAAGTCTAGGTGCCATCGTTGGGGTGTATAGTCTTGGAAGGTGGGGTAGAGAAGCGAGTAAACCGTGATCCTTGGGGAATTCACAAAGGAAACCAAAGAGTTTGAAGATAGATTTCAGTTATATCTAGCTTAATGAATAATTGATGTTCATCTCATTTGAAGAAGATAGCATTTTCCTGTTTTTATTTTTAAAGCATTTAACACTTTCCTGGGACATTGGACTGTATTCCCCAGAAGGGCCTTCCACTATGAATACAGCAAAACCTCATTAATTCAGCTATTGCTAATATAAGAGAAATAGAGGGAACACCTGTAACTTATTTAAAGAGAAAAATTGTTTTCATGACTTTTGCATATACAATGGTTTTTAGGCAAAAAGATTCAGCTATAAAGTAAGCATCCATGTCATTAAGTAGATGCCTCCTTAGACTTTATGGGCAGGTTATAGTATTGAAAGTAATAAAACCGCATTGCTTACAATAAATTCTGACTTCCATAATTCAGCGTAGGTTCTCCCTTTTCCTCCCTACCTCCCCAAACTCATTATTCCAATCTAATGAAGTTTGCTATTATGTTATATGTGAACATAGAATTTATTAATATAAGAAGATCAATTCCTATTATCTTATTTTTTAAACTTAAAAATAAATTTTAAGTTTTTTGGATGCTTATCTGTAACATTGATCACCTGGATGACAGTAATATATTTACTTTTACAAGAAAAATGATATATCAGTCCCTCTCCTTTTCCATGATTTCATACAGCAAGTCATTTTTTTTTTTATTTAAAACAATATTTTCACAAAGCAGACAAGACAAATTCCCAGGATAATAGTGGAGATTTAAAATGAGGGGAAAAAACCCTGAAATCAGATCATGCCCTCCTTGGGACATGTTGAAAAATTGGAGTAGTAACTGAATCACTGTTCATCCATCCGTTTGTACATCCATGCATTCATCCCTTCAACAGCCAAGGGCCATGCTTATTGCTTCCAGGTGTGTAGAGGTAAATAAAGTTCTCTACTTGTCTCTATTGTGCTGACACCCATAAGTTGAAACAGAGGTGGAGACAAACACGTTTCTCATGTGGTAAGGGATGTGTTTTCCTTGTGAGCAAAGTGCTTTGGGAACACAGAGAATTTACCATTAAATCTGACTGGAGTAACTGGGGAAATAGTCATAGCAGGTACAACATTTGAGCTTATTCTTAAAGGAGGAATGGAATTTCTGCAAGTAGAGAAAAGGACAACATTTCTAATCCATGTGAGCAGAAGAATGGAGATGGGGAAGCACATGGAGTGCGCAGAAAAACAGAGCAGACATAATTAGTTGCAGATTAATGAGGGGTGGGGAACAGTGTATGAGATATACAGGGACATTGCTAAGGAAAATGTGCCCTTACTGGGTGATTAGAAACAGCGGTTGGAGCTTAGAGAAAGACTTGAAAGGTGAAGAAATGGAACAGGATAAAGCCACTCGTGAACAACCGAGAGAACCTTTAAGAACATAGAATAGATAGAACCAGCTTCTCCCTGAGATAGAGGAAGTAAAAAGAAAAAAAAGATAAATTCCAAGGTGGATATAAAGAAAATGGAGGAAGTTTATATCTGGGAGCCTCCATGTTTTCTACTCTGCCATTAGATAAGCATGGGATATAGAACAGGACACAAGTTTGCATCCCAGCTCAGCTGCTGTGAAAGACATAATGTGGGCAGGTCACATGACCTGTCTACATTTCAGTGTTACCTTCTGTAAAACGGAGGCAAAAGAACACTTAATTCCCAGGCTGGAGAACTACATAAAGTATGCGAAAGCACGTTCTAAACTGTAAAGCACTCTACATCGAGAAGCAGCCTGACATAGTGGCCAGAACACACGCTGAGTGACCTTGCTTAGCACTTGTCTATATCGTGGGGGTAACAATATGTAGCTTTTATGGGTTACTGAGATTATTAAACATAAGGTTTGTACAGCCTATGCACATAAAGGCTCTCTATCAATGGGAGCAGCTAGATGGCTATCATCTGAATAGGAGCTTGTCTCCTGGGAAAGAGAAGGAAACTTTCCCACAGAAAATGAAGACAAGAAGGGGACATATAAAAATGTTGTTAGGGGGCGCCTGGGTGGCTCAGCCGGGTAAGTGTCCAACTTCGGCTCAGGTCATGCTCTCGCAGTTTGTGAGTTTCAGCGCCGCGTCGGGCTCTGTGCTGACAGCTCGGAGCCTGGAGCTTGCCTCGGGTTCTGTCTCCTGTCTCTGCCCCTCCCACACTCATGCTCTGTCTCTCTGTGTCTCTCAATAATAAATGAACATTTAAAAAACTTTAAAAAAATGTTTAGGAGGAATTAAAAGCTCATTCTGAAAACAGGCACACGTAGTCATGCCTATGAGCTCCCGACCAGCCAGAATGGATGACTTGGTGGGCTGGAGTTGGGAGGGGTCCAGGTAGGTACTATGCTATTGAGGGAACCACTGAAAATGTTGGTCGGTGCAGATCCCAGAAGCTTGCAGGCCTGCTTCTCCAAGACCTGTACTCCAGCCTCAACACTGAGTTAGCACGGTGCTGCCTTTTCTGTTCAGAGTCCGCAGCCTGTGATCCTAAGGCTCTTGTCATTATCAGGTAACTAGTGAGTTGCCTAACTTGCCCAAGGTCCAATGCTCCCCTTTCCACTAAGCTCCCACCATGGGGCTACTGCTCAGAGATCCCCCAGCCCCTGCCTGCTCCCCCTCCCTTCTCACCTCCCACCCTTGGCTCTCAGTCTCCCCCAGCCTCTGCCCAGCCTCCCTTTCCACTTGAGATTTATTTCTTCCCTAGCATATAAGGCAGTGAAAACCTTTTCCACAACTCTGGAATAGAAAACCTGGAGTTTGAACCAAGTAAAAAGGAGCCAAACTGCATTCCCTCGGTCCCTCACGCCATCAGCACTCATTTGAGACCTCAGTACAGAGCTCACTGGTTCCAACGGGCAGGGCCACGCTTCCTCTCCTACACTTGGAAGTGGGTTATCTCACCGGCCACTAGGATAATGTCCGGCGTCCTCCTAAAATGTTTAGTGAGCCTTGGGGACCCCAGGAGAGAGCTGCCAAAATCTATCATGATAGCTACTAAACTTACCTCAGAGGGAGATTTGAATTGCTAGAGCGTGTCCTCAATTTGCCAAATGGCAGTAATAAAGAAAATATAGGCTGTATTGTGCACATTATTGACTCCTATTTTAATTAATGTAAGACACATTCCTCATTTGGGAACATGGTTGATTCATTCACTTGATAATTATTCATTAAGGATATACTAAATTCAAGGCACTACTATCCAAGATCTTTAAAGATAATGAATACAAGCATTTTCCATGGATAACATTTGAAGCATAAGGAAAATCCTGTCAAATTCAGACAAAACTCCAGGTTTCTGTGAATGTACAACTGCAAAGACTCGTTAGGGACTGGGAAACCCCAGAGCTTTTTCTTCTCTTTTCTCAGGCTTGGTTCTCAGCGTCCACTCTTCTGTGAATGCCAACAGAAAATCACCTCTAAGTATCTTGCTTCCTGAACACTCCTTTCAGGCAGCTGTGGTAACCTATGGACGTGTAGATTATTACAGAACATACTACATCCTCACTCCCCACACGTCCTTCCCTACGTGTCAGGAGCCATGCTAAAGTGCAGCCCGTCTCTGCCTTCCCCAGAGAAGGGAGCACCAGGCAATGCTTCTGCTGACTCAGTGTCAGACTGGGTATTCTCCCACCACACCACAAACATACATCAGCCCTTTCCTGAATGTGCTTTAATTGCCTGGGGGCCTCTACAGCGACCATTTCATTCCTGCCTGGTTTGTCTGCAGTCTTCATTCTAGATCTGCTAGAGGAAGCAACTCAACCCTCATTAAAAACAGACACAGACATTATCTCTCCATTTCATTTCTTTAACCCCACGTAAACCTTCTGTTTCGTTTTGTAATCAATATGTCTTCTGTTACTAGGTTCTGTGTGTATTTTCCTCTTTACCGCTCATCTCTACCCTTTATGTATCTCTACCCTTTATGTATCTACCCTTGGAAGACATTGTTTGGCTTATTTGCCCCCGAGTTGGAAGAACACAAGACTCCTGTCAGTTTCATGGCAAACTCAAACTTAGGAGTGCATGTGCAGCAGCATTTCATTTACATATTTTTCTCATTGTTCTTTAAAAATCCTTCGCTGCATAGTGCAATGATGTTCACTGTGAGACAATCCCGTGAATCCCTGCAAGCGAGAATACAGTCCAGATTGCACCATCACAGACTTGGGGACCTTGATAGAATGTTCAAGGCAGAGTCTAAAACTTGAATCTTCTTACTCTGGATCCTCTACTTCCTTCAGCCTCCATTTATAGATCCTGGGGAGAAAAATGCATTCCTTCTCTTTCATGAGTGGAAGTAATTCAAAATCATCGCTTAAGGTCATTGAACTGAGAAATGTTCCTTGGATTTTCATGAAGAAAATCTTCAGGCAGGGTTTATGTCTGAGCAAAAAGATACACACATTTGAGGGTAATACCTTTTAACATATTGATAGCATACTCTCTCCCGGAGCAGAGGGGCCACCTTTGTGGAAAAGCTGCTGTGGTGTGTGATTTTATTTATTTTTTTTTTTTTTAATTTTTTTTTTCAACTTTTTTATTTATTTTTTTGGGACAGAGAGAGACAGAGCATGAACGGGGGAGGGGCAGAGAGAGAGGGAGACACAGAATCGGAAACAGGCTCCAGGCTCTGAGCCATCAGCCCAGAGCCCGACGCGGGGCTCGAACTCACGGACCGCGAGATCGTGGTGTGTGATTTTAAAGGAAGAGTAGTCCTAGTCCTAGGAGTGCCTGGTCATCACTGAGGCACCCCT